CCCGCGGGGTCGGGGGCAGCCCCGGCACGGCCGCCCCCCGCTCCCCCCCAAAAGCGGGGGGTGCCCGAAGCCCCCGGCGCGGTGCGTGCGACCCTCTCGGGCCGGCAGATGGGGGCAGGAGAAGCCCCCTGAGCCTTTCTGAAGTACTGGGGGCAACCAAGGGGAGGGGCAGCCTTTGACACCCCYAGGCTGCATCACCCCGGGGGTCACTTCTGAGCAGGGCTGTGACCCTGCGATGGGTCCCCCCACAGCCCGGGGCCAGCCCAGCCTCACAGGAACCGTGGGCTACCCCTGAGGCTCCCAACACTCACAGAACCCCATCGGGGACCCCACCTCTCCCAGGAAAAAGGGGTTTGCAAGCCCACCTCAGACCCAGCCCAGCCCAGCAGGATGGTTACAGGCACATCCAGAAGTCAGATTTGGGATTTAGTGAAGCCCAGCCCTGCAGGGATGCCCTGGCCCAAGGGGATTAAGGGATTGTAGGGCTCAGGGACCAGAGGGAGGGGAGTGGTGGTTCCTGGAAAGGCAGCAAAGCCCGGGACCCTACAAGGGCACCATGTGGAGCTGGATGAGCATTGGCTGAGTGGGCAGGAGGGGGCAGCTGGCAAAAAGGCAGGGAAGAGGTGACATCCTTGTTTGCCCGGCCAAAGGGGTGGCAGGGAGGGAGGGGGCTGCAGAGGCACCCCTTGCTTGCTCCGTCCCACCACGGCCCTGGCTCACTCTCTTTGGGGATGCAGCGAGGGCCCTATCCTGTCCTCAACCCCAAGTGAAGGAAAGACCCTCGGGAGCCTTTCCCCAGACGGTGCTGGGGGAGCAGGAAGGATGGGGCACCCCAGTGACACTGCCAGACCCACAGTGACAACCCTGGCCCCACACCCCAACKCCCACTCAGCTCTGGCCTGGAGAGAAGCTCCTGCACCCATGGTGAGGCTGAGACTGGGGAATTTGCCTTTCTCCACAGCCCTTTGTTCACAGCAGGGCCACAGAGACCTTCACACGGCTTTTCTCACAACAAAACAAAAACCTGAGTCAGGCTGTCCAGTCTCCAGCTAAAACCTGACACCCCCTTTGGAGCTTAAACCCCAAGAACAGCTCCTGAGTGTGCACAGCTCCATCACTTGGGACAGGATGGGGTGGTCCACCCTTTTGGTAGGAGACATGAGTGAACAAACCCCACTGTGGCTTCCCAGACCCCCACTGCCACTCCATGCTCTGAGAGCAGCACAGATCACTCCTCACCCCSCGCCCCAATCCCAAACAGGAGGCCACACGAGTTATCATCTTCAAAATAAAACTTTTATTCATTCGGTAACAAGAACATTGAATCTGCACATCAGTGCACAAGTTCACATTTAAAAACAGCTGAGCACATCGGTCATAAAGTCTTTAGGGGGAAAGGGGACGATCCCAGCCACCAAGGAAGATCCAGGAGGGGCAGACAGAAGCGCTCCCCTCCCTGGTTTACAACCCCACCGCCAGCTGCTCGGCCCTGGGCAATCCCTACAGACCAGCGCACGGACGTCACATCTCCATCAAGGAAAATAAAAGGCACTGGCACCTTCTCTCGTGCCGACAGAGATGTCTGCAGCGCGGGCGGGCTGTTAGCACCTCTGGCAGCTCCGCCGGACAGGCACCGAGCCCCGCGCCAGCCCGGACCCTCCTGCACCAGGCCAGCACCCGCCGGTTCCCCACGCCAGGGGCTCGGGGGGTTTGCAGGAGCGGATTAAGGCAGGACGCACCGTGCGGCGAGCAGGGACCTGCGGTGGCTATGGCTTCCTCCTGCCAGAGGGCTGCGGGGCTCCTGGAGCCCCCGGCAGGTGCGGTGCCCCTGCGGCCGTGGATTCCCAGCTCGCTCCTCCCAGGAGGTCCCCGGAGCAGCCGGAGGTGGGGAGGGATCCCTTCCACCCGGCCTCTGCTGGCAGAGGGACACGGAGCTAATCCCTGCTCCGTTTCAACATCCAAGTGACCCAGAAGCGGCGTCACCTCCTGCCACCCGCTGGGACCGTGTCCCCGGGAAAGGGCCGAGAGGGGACACATTTGTACACCTCACAACTTCTCGAGCAGACCGGACACACGCTCGCACACACACCCACACCCACACACACCACCGAGTGCAACAGAACGCAGTGTAGAACCAGTTTCACGCACACGCAGTCCGTTTGTGCAAGGCTCACACGTTACAGTACGGCCGGGACGGGGCAGCGATGGCTGGGATATTGTACAGGAGTCAATGTAAACAATAAAGCGTCCTCCRAGAGGCTTCGCCAGAGACCAAAGAACAGTTGCTTTGTACAAAAATGCCCTTAAAACAACGCGTTTCTCCCAACCCCCCTCTACCCGCGAGGCTTCTCGGCTGCTGAGCACCCCGGAGGTGCCGCTGCTCCCYGTGGTGCTCAGAGGGTCACAAGAAGCTCTCGTGGGGTGGCCACGGGAACCAGGAGCGAATCATCACCCTCCCAGGAGCCACCTGCATGGAGAAAGGACAGTCGTCCCCAGCAGAGACCTCTGATGCCAGGGCTTGGTGGCTTCATAGCCCAGACAGGGGTCAGAAGTCCAGGCCCCTCCAGTCCGACCCCTTCCTGCTATCCCGCTCAGAGCCTCCAGACCTCCAAGGCCTTCATCACTCTGCAAGAGAACCACCTTTCCCGACTCTCTGCCTGCCCACAGCCTCCTCAGAGAAAAACCAGTTGTGCTGGGCCAGGGCCAAGGACAAGGGGACAGCAAAGCACCTCCCTGCAGGGGCCTCTGCCCCTTCGCTGCTCTCCCCAGCTGAAGCACCYGGAGAGCAGCTGAGTATTGGAAGGAAGCAGCATTTCTGGTCTGCATGGGGACCCTTCCTAGAGGGCCCTTCTCCTGAGATCAAGCTGGGCAAAGAAACCAGATCCTCTTCCTCCTCCTCCTGCCTTCTCAAGGGAAAAAAATTCTACACAGGAAAAAATTACCCTCCCCAGGAGATCCTTGTCACCAGGACACACTGCCAGCCAAGCATGCTGGTGGCAACCAGGAATATCCTTGGGGCCACAACGGTGGGCAGTGGGGCCTGGTGAAGTTTGGGGGGGAGGCCAGGACTGAACCTGTCCTTCTCAAGATGACATGAGCCACTTGGCCTTTCCACAGTGTCTGCCCAGCTCCGGAGCCAGCTGGAGCGGACTAGGAGACGCCACATGTCTTTCAGTGTCCCAAAGAARGACCTGGCCTCCTGGGCCAGGGGCTTGGGTGACTTCTAGAGACTGAAATGGCCTGGCATGGCATCCAGTTTGACCCAGGACAGGGCTGTGCTCCTGCCAGAGCTCAGGAAAGGGAGGGATAGCACTCGTGGCTGCGGGAGCACAGACGGACTCACAGACTTAGGAGGCAGCACAGGATGACCCCGGGCAGCTACAGGAGGGGACAGCAAGGTGGCATTACCTTGCCAGCTGCTAGGCTGGCCTCTGCCACCAGCTGTGGGCAAACTGGGGGTCACAGACATCCCTTCCCCAGGSCAGACACATGCTGCTTCCCAATACTCTGGGGCGCTCCGGTGCCATGCACCCCTCTCCAGCTCAAGAARGGTTTGTCCCATCACAGCCTGCATGGCTCTGCAGCTTCAGGGCCGCTTTCTAGGCATGGCCTTGGCTGCTGCTCCTCCCACACCATGTCCTCTCCATGCTGGGCTTCRGCAGCCTGAGCCATTCTGCATCTTCTCCCTGCTTCACTCCTCCCCGGAGGGCAGTCTGGGCTCCAGCCAAGCACCAGATCACACAGGACCTGCCACGRGACTGTGGACAGGACCCAGAGCTCCCCTTGGCCTTTCTCTCTGCTCCTGAAGCACAGGGACAATTTGCTGATGCACTCAGCTAGAAATGGGAAGCTTTGATTTAGCCAAACTGCTCAGAAACCACAAAATAATTTGCTGAAATTTGGAGCAGACCCTTCAAAAGCAGTTTCTCCGGGGAAGCAAGAACCTGCAGAATGGCTCAGAGCAGCCRATGGCTTTCCATGTCCAACTGGCATTTCTGGAACCCAGCTTCAAGCAGGAAGGAGATGGGCAGACACGCAGTGCCCCTCCCACAGTGGGATAACGGGGGTTCACACAGGACTGGAGGAGAAGGGACACATTTGGCATCGAGGCTCACTTTTGGAAAGGGAAGACAGCTTGTAATGTCAAATCCACTCCTGTGTCTGTGCAGATCACAAAGAACAGCACTGAGTTTGAGTCAGGTGGGTTTGTTTTCCAGTTTACAGAATGCAGTCTTGCCCTTTTTTAAAAAAAGAAAAACACATAGAAAAGACCAAAAAAAAAAATCATATAAATATCATATATACAATTTAGGCAAAAATAAAACAAAAAATTAAAAAAAAAAAGAAAATTAAAAAGAAGAGAAAAGAAAAAGTTCCCAGAAAAGGTTTTCCCTCTGGGTCCAGTTAGGAGCGACAGCAGAGAGGACAAAGCTTTGCATTAAGGGCAGTATGTCATGTAACAAAAACAGCTCAAGGTTGGGAGTGACCAGAAACACCCGTGAGCGTGGCACAGGGGAGAGGGAAACTCAGGCAGCACGAGAACAGCTTTGGGGCAGAGGGCAGAGGACAGATGATATGGCCATGAACTTGGAAGGCCCACAGCAGTATTCAAGTAATGGGAGGGTTAAAACCCTAATGAGGCGTTTGTTTTAAAAGAACAMTGGCTTTGGGGGTGGAGGTGAATGGGGCAGCTCCTGGAGGAGCTGTGCCCCACCTGAGCACAGAGCAGAGAGCTCTGGGTGCCCTGTGGCAGCRGGGAGAGCTGCTCTTGGTGCTGCCCAGGGTTATCAGAGCCCATCCATCGRGAGGATTTACCCCGTGTGCTCCTTTTGGGGAAGCACCAGCTGAACCGAGCCCGTCCTGAAGCAGCTTTGTGAGGGATCTGCCAGCATGGTGGAGTTCCAGTTTGCAGAAAAAAAAGGCCAAACAAAGGGACCTTGGCACAACCTTCACATTTACAGGGGCTCTCACCCCACTACCTGTCCAGCACCATTTCAAGGCATGGGGGAAAATTCAAGTTAGGAACTAGGATCTGGTTTGTAAGCAAGACTCTACCTTCCCAAAGCAAGCCAACATCAATTTTCTCATCAAAAAAGTGTTCTTTTAAAACAAACTAACAAAATAAAACAAACAAAAGAACATATGAGGTTATCCGAGTTAAAAAACTTAAAAAAAACCCAAACAGTCCTGCAGTCAGAGTCACACACAGAAGAACCAACCCACACCTACATGCGCCAGGAACAGTAAAATGACAATATATATAAAATTAACCAATAAAGTGCATGTTCCTTATATTACACCTGCCCCTTGYGTGAAAGCAACACCACGGCTTTTGGGTAAGAAATCACAGCCAAGGGCCCAGGATCACATCGTGTTGTAGAGGGGATTGGTTGTCCGCTTTTTGTCATTGGTCTTTTTGAGCCTCCGCAGAGGGTGAGTTCTCCCATGCTGCTGCCGTGGGGCGACAGCCAGAGCTTGAGCTGGAGAYAAGGAGTCCAGGACATGCACCTGGAGCAGCGGAGGGCCCTCCTCGGAGCTAGTCCACGTCGGATCCGCGCCGGGACACAAACTCTGCTGGCTGGAGCTGCACTCTTTGGCGTACTGAGCCAGCGGCCTCTCCACCGGCTTGCTCTGGGCAATGCACTCAGCTGTTCTGAGCTGTTCCACAAAATGCTTAGCGGGCTCTGGGGAGGAGAGGCGATGYTTCCCACACACGCCCTCCGAGCCCCTCTCCAACCTCCCCCCGCAAAAGCCTCGACCAAGRGCAACGCAGGTGAGAAGCACCGGGTTGGCATCGGAAGAGGCCGACTCCCTCTCGCGTAAGTCGTCCTTGGAGAGGTCCAGGCAGTCCAGTTTGGCCAGGGAYGCCGAGCGCTTCATGTGGGAGGGCGTGGTGAGCCCCGCGTGCCGGATCCGAGCCTCGATTTCCTTTGCCCGCTGCTTGACCAGCCCGGGGCTGCTGGAGCGCTCCTCCACGCTGCGGCTGCTGGAGCTGTGCGGGAGGCTGTAACACAGGAACGAGATGTCCAGAAGGTCCATGTTTTCAGCACGCTGGCTGGTGAAGTCATCACTGCTCAGCTGCCTCGAGATGCCCGCAGCATCACCCCCGCAGAGAGGTTTGGGACCGTCCCTGAACGGGAGAGTCGCGTCTCCCTCGGCGCCACACGGCGTGACCGGCTCATGGTCTGTGGCCGTGCTCTGCTCGGTGACACCTTCCAGGTGAATGAYGTAGGGGTAAGGAGAGCGCTCGAGGCTGGCTGGAGGGGCACAGGTCACCTGGGCAGAGGGAGAAGCAGCAGTGAGGTGAGCAGGGGTCGCATCACCTTCCTCGCCGGGGCCGCCCACGGTGAAGGCGGCCTGCTTGCGTACCGCGTGCTCCGGCGGCGAGGGATCRGCCGGAGCCTTCTCCAAGCACACCGAGGGGTTCAAGTTTTCATCTAAGGACGGGGTGGCCGCAGCCAGCCCGCCCTGCTCACAGCTTGTGTCGGGGCGCTGCTCTGCAGGCTTCACCGTGAGGGTGTACTCGATGATTTCGATCCTCTTTGGGAGGAGGGAGGGCAGGGATGGCTCCTCCGTCCCGTCAAACGACACCACTGTCCTGCGCTCTTGTGCCACCCCCTCCTGCCCCRGGCTGGGCTCTGYGGGCAGGGWCTCCTGGGCAGKGGGGCCGAGGGGTGCAGGCAGGGGTCTGCCCRCAGGCAGCTCCTCAGCACCCGGACCCTGAGCCCGGTCACCCTCCGGAGCCAGCTCCAGGGGCGGCTCCTCGCTCTTCCCCCGTGGCAGGAGCTCGGCAGCAGGAGAGTCGTTCCTGGAGTTCTTGCGGGTGGGTAAAGTGCAGGCTGGGGCCGTGTGCTGGTGCTCCTGCTCCTGCCTCAGGCGCTCCTCGAACTCCAGCGTGGCTCGCCGGACGGAGCCGGGGCACCACTTGGGCTCAGGGTCGATGGAAGAGCCACGAGGCTCCTGCTGCTCCCCACCAGAGCTGCTTTCCTCCAGGTCTGTTTTACCAGAAGATGGCTGCAGGGATGGGGCTTCTTCCTGCTCAGCTGGCCCAGGGTCCTTCTCCTTTTCCTGGTGTCCAGCACAGGCTCCTTCGCTCTGTTCCAACTTTTCTGATGCCCAAATCACCTCCACTGGCAGGTCATGCACCGTGTTCCTCTTTGGTGTCTGGCTGAGGTTGGCTGAACTCTCTTTCTGCTGGGCAGATCCTGCTCCCTGGTTGATTGACTCGATCTCTGTGATAATTTCCTTCACAGAAATGGCATTTTCCGAGTGGGATCTYGTGAGATGACCTGCTCCAGGCAGCTCAGGAACCTCCTGCAACACACAGACAGGAGAATTACAAAGTGCACCAGCTGTGCTGACACAGAGCAAACAGCAGCAGCTTAGAGAACACAGGGGGGCATATCCCCAAAGGAACAAAAAAGCATGTGGCACTGTGTGGACAGAGATCACAAGAACAGTGATCATTAATATAAATTTTTTACTGTCTCTGGGAYTGAATTTAACATACTCCAGGCTGGATCTTCATTTAGACTGAAATCTAAGAACCTTAATTGCCACAAACTCCAAGGAAAATGTAGCTTTTTTTTTTTTTTTAATGAAGAAAAGTCCAGTTAACAAAAAGAATCCTAATATTGCTAATTTGCTATTTTAAACTGAAAATGTGACAAATTCTGCTTGGGTATGGAGCAAACAGAAGTACAGCAAAAAGAATGACCGAGCACTGAAACGCTCTTGGTTTCCCAGAGGAAAATGGCCAGGGAGGCTCCCAATCCCTACAGACACTCTCTGCCAAATCACAGGAGAGAGCACTGGCCTATTATATTTGGAAGAGCCTTATTGCCTCACATGGAGATGGAAAAGATTCAAGCAATGCAGCGTGGAATTTAAATAAGAGAAGCTCCCAGAAAATGATGGCCCCAGACATCATCAATCCCTGTGAGAGTCCTGGAGGCTGAAAAGCAATTACGAGAAAAAGGTACCTAAATTTAGAGGTTACTAAATTTTGTCATGACCATCTCTCTCTACCCAGGAGAAGTGAGCCATGATGTGCCCTATCCCATCACTCCAGACCTGGACAGGCTAATTTCTTCCTCCAGCAGTAGAAGCTCTACACCTGCCTTGATTTACTACCCCACTGCTGGTGCTTCCCAGCCAGGAAAAAGAGCCAGTTTTGCTCCATTCTTTGGTGGATTTCTCAASTCAGGTAAATATCTGTGCAGATTTGGGATGCTGGCTGGGCTCAGGGTCTGGCTACATTAGTGGGTCAAGTCCCACCTTTCTGCTGTCCTGATGCAAAACTCAAAAATAAGTTTCTCATGAGAACGGCACAGCAGGTCAGGTCAAGGCCAGCTCATTGGCCCTGCCAATGCCAGCAAACTGATGTTTAAGGAAAAAGTGCAGAAAAGGGCAAGTGTCTAAAAGTGAAGGAAGGGGGAAGCATCTAGCGATCCCTCCCTAAACACCCTGCCCAGTGAAAGCAGGGCTAGAAAATCCCATCCACAGCCACCCCACAGCAGAAAGCAGCCCACAGACAGGGTCGAGCAGCAATTCCTAAAAAACCTGAGCAAGTTATTTTAACCTTTTGTTGCTCTTCATCTGTGGAAGAGTCATCTGATGCCTGAGGAGAGTTTCCAGGGCTGTTCCTTCGAGCATCTGCACCCCCATCTGTAGCAGGYGGCACTTCCAGCATGGGCACCCTGGAGACCCCATTCCTCCCAGTCCCTTGCTCCTCTGGCCTGGAATGGGAGCAGGTGCGTGACCGGCTCTCCTGGGAGAGCTCCACGAATTTCTCCAAGGCGCTGAAGAAATCAATCCTGTCTGTGCTGAGGTCTGTCACTTCGGGCTGAGGGTTCTGTTGCAGACTTGGGGAATTTTGGTTTGGGGACTGGGGAAAGTCTTTTAAGCATGAAGTGAATTCTTCCATGGGAACCAAGTGCACGTTCATATCAGGCTTAAGGGCATCTTTTTCTAGATCGTCCACKGTCAGATCAGGAAACTCYGTGATTTCCAAGGGGTGCTGRAGCTGCATTAAGGCCTCAGAWGCATGGCAGTTGTCAGGGGGCACAGAGTCCACACAACACCCCGCCGTACAGCCATTGATATTGTTYAGGTTCAGCTTGTCCTCCATCTGCTCAGTGTGGAAGTCTCTGCAAGTAAACTCTAAGTGGATCCTTCTCTCCTTCACACACACATCCTCGATCATGTTGGCATCCTCCAGGAGCTGCTGCTCCCTGTCCAGCTCAGCTGAGTAGATGGGAGACATGGGCTGCTGGTTGTCGTTGCTCTTGGCCTCTGAGATCTGGTCTGCTGAGGTGGTGATCTCYTTCTTGTTCAGCTCCAGCCCAGCCTTGCAGATGGGCTCGTGGTGATCCGAGAGGTCGCTGTCYGAGTGCGAGCGCCACAGTTTGTTGTGCCGCTGTTTGCTGTGGGGAAGGAGAGCGAAGGAAAATGGTGAGTAATTTCCACATACCGGAGCCAGATCCACCTCGCAGGAGAACACAACCTACAACAAAAACTGTGCCAAATGCTGGAGTCACTGACCACAACTGCAGCTTCACCTCAACAGTTTAGGGCCAAGCCTGCTGCTGGAAACATTGATTCAGTAACCAGCCACTTTCCAGGAGCTAAATCCCATTGCACCATTCTGCTCTGCACACCTCTCCCTATTCCCCAGCAGTGTTGGATCAGTCTACCCAAAAAAATGTAATGTTTACTGCAGAATTCAGTCCTTTCTCAGCCAGCACTTTTCCATTTGCTAGCACATGAGCAGTGACCAGAAGAGAGAGAACCCTCGTGCTGCACACAAGCAGGTGGTGGGCATTGAAAAAAGTCCAGTTTCCCTTGTGGTTCCCTCTCTGAGTAGCTTCAGTCATCAATAACTGGCTCTTGTAGGGTAGGATGGGATGAGGAGAAGTAGGTGTGTGCAAAAACACACAAGACATCCTCAACAATAAACAAACAGCCCAAATCACCACCCACCTTCCACAGGAAGGAAGCTCAGAACTCCTCCAGCTTGTGGAAAGCCCCTTTAGGAAGGTCTGAGCCATCAAAAGGACAAGCAACTGCCAGTGGCATTGCATCACCTTCCTCATTTCCACCTCCCAAAACCCCAAGCCATTCACCCGGGCTCACAGACAGCACCAGGGGCAACTTTTTGCCATGAAATCCCGGAGGCTAGCCCAGGCTGCCAGGGTTTGCCGAGTGGCCASGGCCACAGGGATGTGTTTCCACCCATTGCCCCTAGGAGGAACACAGAAACCACAGAAACCTCCTTGGAACTGCAGGAGACCTTGCAAAACCCCTCCAGTACCTTGCTAGCATAAGCAGGCGCTCCCAGACACATCCAGTGGCCACAGTAAGTTAATTAACAGATGTATTTGAGTTAATTACCATGTGCCAATTCAACTGTGGGTGCCCAACAGCTAAGGAAAAGATCTCAGATTGCAGAATTAGCTTTCCAACCCTATAATCAGTGACAACCTTCACGTGTGACACAGACAAAATCAGGTCCTTTCACAGGAGAGGAGGATCAAGATCAGAGGCCAAAGACACTGTCCTGGGGTGCACGTGCTCTGTCTCTGTGGGTTTTGGAGCAGTTTGGCACTGGCAGCAGAAACACGCTTGTCCCTGAGGCTCTGTATGGGATGTCAGCTGACATCTCTGCTCATATAACCTGGGGAGCTGCTGATGTTTTCTGAGGGCACTTCAGTGCTCAAATCCAGCTCTCTGCTSTGCATCTGATTTTGAAAGTGAAAATTACCCTCCTGTGTGAGGAACTGGCACAGATTTGAGGASCAAAACAGATGTCAAGCACCACTGGCAGAGGTGTGCTGTGCTAACTTCCAATCTAACACTTTCCCCAGTCTTACAGCCCGCATGAGGTRCCTGAAGCAGGGTCAGAGAAGAGGAGCCCACGCCCCTTCCCAGAGCCCAACAATCATCTCTTGAATCTTGTGGGGAACATTCCTAGTGCTTGTGCCCACACCAGCTTTGGACCTGGAGCCCCCTACACCTCCCACCAGCTCTCCAGGCTCGGGTATWCAGCTGCTGTTGATCCACAAGCTGCACAAGGCACAGGAGATCCCAAACACTGGTTTCCTGTAACTTATCTATAACTAATAACAGAAACAGGCCYGGCTCAGCCTCGCTGTGTTTATCAACAGAGGGAGGGGACAGTTTAACTAACCCCAGGAAGTATGACAGTCCCAAAGAGCAAAACACACTTGTTGTTGTGACTAAAAGCAGGCAGGGGGTTTTCATTTTACAGCTGGAAAACATATCCCAGTTGCTATAACCCCAGCACAAAACCGTAACTAGATAGTGTGAGCACATGGCTGCCCTCACATACCTTCCCCCTGAAAYTGGAGCAGTCACATGAGTGTCAATCTGTTGKTTTTGTTTTTTYCTTTGGTTTTGTTTTTTTACCTGTCCTGGAATACTGCAGCAATAAACAAGGAGGCCAGAGCTGGAGGGCAGAGCTGAACAACACAAAGAAAGGGGGGAAAAAAGCAGTTTGGAGCTGAGAGGAAGTGAATTAAGAGGGACAGTTTCTGCAGCACGGAGGGGCCATTCCTTGTTYCAGTGAAGCTTCATTTACTGCGGGCTTTTTTGTCCTACACAGAYGTAACACACTGCTCTTGCATTTTTTAATGCCTCACAAGTAATCCTGCTTGTGCCATTATACAGGGACTTGCAGAGTAGGTCAGGAGCAGCGCTGTGCTTCAGTGGAAAGGGAAGCCACATCCCTATAAATGTTGACAAGAAGAAAGATATACCTCCAAAAAATAAATTACTAAAAGACGGGGAAAAATAATCCTTAACCAAAATGTTTGTACAAGGTGGCTTTGCAGGCACGCCACCAACTACCAGCCTGGCAGATTACCCAAACCAACTGCAGGGCTGAGGGCTTGAAGATGTGAGATACCAGCTGCTCCCACACCATGGCTTCTCACAGGTGTTCACCAACCTGCTGGTGCGTTTTTCACACCTAGAAAGCTTCTTTTTCTCCATCCAATCTACCCCAGTGAGGTTTAATTTCCCAGTCTACTGAATGCTCACCACACTGGTCAGGTCATCTCCGGCCCAGAGTTAAGCACTGACCTTTACTAACTGGGGCCAGCAGCATGTTTGGTGTCACATGAGGCACCAAAGGCYGGTGTGGTGTCTGTCTCAAAGGGTTTCAGTCCAGTAGAGCACTATTTTTTATAATTATCTATTCCATGTGATCTGTCCTGAGATTTGATACTACTYGGCTGCTTTTTAGAGAGAAAGAGGGTTGTTATGGCAGGCTGGGTTTGGGGAAGAGGGGAGAGGAAGGGAGGCACAGGAAGAGGTGGAGAATRAAGACCCTGTTGGTGCATCTGGACAGGGAATAAGTTGGGAGAAGCCCCGAGTTTGCTTATCCATGCAGAGAGGGAGAGAGGAAGCACTTTCCAGTGACAGGGGAGCTTACAGCAAAGGTTTGGTGTCAAAATTGGGAATGCAAACGTGGCCCAGCAACAAACACAGTCAGGCTGCTGGGAAAAGGCAGAGAGCAAAGGAGGAAGGATAAGTTACTGGAATGAGAGGGAAGAGAGGTCTTTGCAAGTGGATAGAACAGACATGAAGGGACAAAATCAAGCAGGGAACAGAGGTAAGTAGTGAGCACTACAGAGAGCATATGAGTGCCTGAGCTGCTATAAATAGCAGTATATAAGACAACAGTTGGACTCGATCATCTTAAAGCTCTTTTCCAACCTAAATGATTCTACAAGAAGCAGGCATCTCCCAGTAACACCAAGAAGGTTTGAAATTCACTATTTACTTTGGTCCAAACCTGCTAAGAGCYACCTCCTGTGGCAGGAGGTTCAGAYTGGGTAACTCTGCTTGCTGCAGCTCTGCTCCCAGGCAAAGCACACCAGGATCCCAAACAAAATACCATAATCTGGCAAAACAGAGTGTCACTGCCTCCTTCCTGCTGATCACGTGAAGACATTGCTTAACACAGCTCAGAAACATGCAATATTTATGYCTTTTTGCTAGTCAGGTGATAGGCTTGGGATTACAACACACTTGCCCATACCCAGGCCCAGCTCCAGACCAGCCTCAGGACTCCAGGCAGGAATAAACACTGCTGTTGCAATGCACAGAACATCCTGTCCCCTCCCCTCACACCAACACTTACCAAAGGCATCTAAATAAAACCAGACCAGCAGCTGAGGAGGGGCATGTTCAACTGGGAACTGTGAGGAGACAAAGCGAGTTCCCTGCCAAGTGATGTTACAAGCAACAGGGACATCATTTATCTCTRCTGGAGCCTGCATAGCTCTGAATGCTGCACTCAGATAACACTTCACGGGATGCTACTTTCCAAAAACCRAACATCCTGGAAGCCAAACAGCCTCCAGAAAGCTCCCTGTTACACCCCTTTTCCCAGGCTTAGCTGAGATAACCCATGAGAACAGAGCACTACCTTTCCTAAGATCCCGAGCTTGCATAACACAGCGATACAAGCTCTGCCTAAAAGAATGGAGCCAACCATTGAAGTGTTATGCCTTAATATGGATCATCAGGATCATTCCTTCCACTCACCTGGCCAGCAGGATCCCTTGGTACTCCTCCAGCTGCCGCATGAAGCTGGGGTTGGGCTTGGTGACGGTGCGCCGTTCCTTCACGTAGTCGTAAGCCCTGTCCAGGTTCCAGCCGTATTCCTTCATGGCATAAGCAATCACCGTGGATGCTGAGCGGCTCACTCCCATCTTGCAGTGCACCAGGCACTTAGAACCATTTTTCCTGAAGTGGAAGAAAAGAATGAAAGAGGATAACTAAACAGAAAACATCTGAGAAGCTTAAGAAAACARCAACTTCTCTACCAGAGCATTATCAAATATATTTTCAACACTGTGGCCACAGCTGGAGTCCAGGATGTGATCTGATAATCCAATTTATAAACTGGAGCAGGACAGACAAAGAAACTGAAGAACCAGGTCTTATTAATGTTCTTAACAGATTTTGTTACCACAGCTCTTCTGAAAAGTAGACAAACACAGAAATACATGGAAACCTCTGCAGACTAATGTGGCTTCCTTGAGCTCAGCCCAAATGGCCCCCTGGTACCAAGCAGTACCCCAAGTAAAAAGAGAATCTGTAACACAAATGTGGTGCCACAGTTTAGAAACACATTATAGAAACACACTGAGCAGTTCAGGGCAGCCTGTAGCACAGAAATATTCTTCTACTGCAAACCACAAAACAAAAATGCTCTGATGCTAGGTAGGCAGGGAGGAAAAGCAGTTCAGAAAGCCAGCGGGAAAACAAAATGCTTATTAAGTATCTTCTAAATGTGTGTGTTGTGTTTTCTGAAAAGACTTACTTTGCCTTGGAGATGAATTTGTAGGTATCATTCCAGTAAGCCAGAAGATCTGTAGCTTCTTCATCATAAACCCGGATATTGTGGTATTCAAAGAGCCCAGGGAAGAAGTTATCTATTTCTCGAGTCACATTCAAAATATACCGTACCCTGCATGGGAACAGCAGAGAGAAAAACASTTCAGAGAGATGTCCCACTGCTACACTGCAGCCTTGCCTTGCTTTGCCAAGGCCATTTAGAAGTGCAGTTTTGAACAAAATTCCTGCAATTAATGCAAGGAAGCAGCAGCTAACACTGCCAATAGGTTTTGCTGGGCAATTTAGAGCCTGGTAACAGGGATCCATGGATAGAAACTTCCTCTGCATTATGTCACATCACACTGCCCACCACCTCTATTCTTCTTGTCAGCAACACTTGTGCCACAGGAGCTCTTGCAATTAGAGTTTGAACTTTCTCAAAGYCCCTCTGTGAGTCTYCCCTCCTGCTGCACCAAAACCACAAGAAGATGGAAGACTAAGTCCCCAAGCAACACCAGAGCTAAACAAATGCATGAAGCAACTACAGAGAGATGTAACAGACAATGAGCCACTGGGGAGGATTTATTCCTTATCCCTGAATTTTCTGGAAAGGAAACTGCTAGAGAAAGCGTGTGGTATTTATGTACACTGCACTCAGTATTTTTAGCCCTGAGGGTTACTTGTAAGATGCTTATGAAACGCGCTCGTGCTGGGATATCAGGCAGAACAAGGGCACTGCAAGGGAGTGACATCCCTTTTCCCAAGCAGGTATGAGATCACTGGCAATCAAGTAGGACCTGTTGGACTCAAGAAAACCACAGCAGACCCTGAGCTCAACAAGGAGAGTCAATTTTGCCAGGTGGAATTTCTGAGGTACAGACGTGCACTATCAACTCAGCAGCATGATTAGTTTTTTCCACTGGATTGGCACAAATAAGCCAAGCCCGTGAATGATTATTTAATTGCACAATCTTGGGGCTTATATCCACCTGGTCTAGAGAAAGGACATTCTGAGCTTGAAAAGTAGAAAGGGCAGGAACCAGAGGAACCCATCAGTGCTCAGCCTGAGAGCTACAGGACTTTACTTCCTACTGGGCCCCACTCAAAGCACCAAATGCTCTTCTCCACATTTTCCTTCCTGCCACAGCCTGGAGGTCCGAAGTGCCTCTGTAATCAGTCCAGAACAACGGGCTGGGGCTGAGGGCAYGGAGCCAACTATGCAGCATCCAGTTCAGCAATTGCAGTTTTTACTACTTATAGAGCTGTGAGCTTGCTGCCTTCCTTTGTTTGCCTTGGGGACATTAGTCAAGGTCAGAAGTAAGGTTCTTTAACTTTAGTGTGCCTGTTTGTGGGACAAGGAGTTTAGAGGAAGCTTGTTTGGATCTGCAAAAATCTGCAAACCCTTTAGTTAAAGACTCAGGTTACACAGCRGGTATGGCACAGAGTTTGTTGCACAGACAAGTGTTAAGGCCAGGCTCTTGCTTTTAAGATGATGGCCTGAAGCTACTCACCCTCTGTTCTGCAAATCTTCCAAATTGGAGGCATTCCACTCYGAGCCCTGCAGGGAAAACATGCAAAGGGACACATCAGGCAGAAGGAAGGCATGGCCAGGCAACTGGTGGAGGGAGGGATTGTCACCAGTGAACCACAGGAGAAGGCTGAGCASCAAAGGGTTGGAGAACTGGGGGTGTTTTGAGTACAGGGGTACACAAGTGGTAACCAGGACTGATGTTCAGCATCTTCTCTCATCCCATTAACCAGATCCCTTCTGAAACAAGAAGCAGCCCTGAAAGCAGAGCCCAGCACTGTATGTTGGCACTTCCTGCAAACCACTGACAAATCAACCTTAGCAAATCGGGACCACTCCACCCTTTCTCTAGAGGCTGCCGCCAGCTCTGCCCCACAGAGGAGAAACTGCCTGCATTTAAACAYCACCAGGTGCTCTTTATACACCAAACACCCATCTCCAACATCAAAGGCAGCAACACCTAAGCTCACTTGGGTTACACCTCTTCTCCCCATGTTCAAAGCCTKTGTGAGCAGAGAAATGAACACATTGAACCAACCCTGGCTAGGTAACCCTCTGCTCTGCAGCACACACAAAGGCCTCCAAGCTGCTTGCTTCCTGCTCAAACACAAACCTGACTAAAGACAAAACCATCCAAGGCTGCCTTCATAATTTAAGGTGCACAAGCTACCTGCTCCCCTGCCCTATAATGGCTCCCAAGTGAAAAGATGATCCAAATGAAGATGATTGATCATATTTACCAAAGTCCAGATTTGGTTTAATATTGCCTCTTTCTAGTCAAGGAARAATCATTTAATTCAGGCCTGGGAACCATCAGTTTCCACAGGTAGAGAGAACAATGCTGCAGGGGTGAAAGCCTTTTCTCCTGTCCTTTGATCCATAATTACCAAGATCATCAGGTTTCTTATTTCCTGCTTAGTTGTTTTAGCACTCCCCAAGTGGGATCCCACAGGGTCCTCAGCTCCACCTGGAAGGAAACAGCTCCTTGCCTTGCACAGCACTCCAGCACAACCCTGCTTTGCAGCACACATGCTCCTGAGTGAAGCTGGTGCCCAGCCCCAGCAGCACCGCTCCTCACCASAGCAGCTGCTTTCCAAATACTTTTATTCCACATACTAACCACAGCTCTTCTCCTTGGTGCTGCCTCCAAGCCCTGTTTGAAAAGTTTTCTCCCCACTAAATGCACTCAGAGCCAAGACTCAAAGCCCTGCAGTGGATCCAGCTGCCTGAACAGCTTTGGGCCAGCACCATAAGCCTGTAACAGGTCTCTCTCTCTCTCTCTCTCTCTCTCTCCTAATAACACACAGTCTGCAAGAAAAAAATTCATTACATCGTAGGTACTTCCAACTTTCCTGGCTTCACCCCAACTGGGAGTGCTTACATTAACAGAGACCATCCCTTCTGAGYCGGAGACTGGGAGAGGCCCTCTCCRTTTGGAAAGACCAGCTGGTCCAAGAGGAATGGCTTTGTTTAAAGTTGAGCCAAGCTCACAGGCTAGACAGCCCAACCAAACCTGTGTCCGTGGCTCCGGGGCTGGGAAATCCAGTGGAGCGCTGACTCACCAGAAGGAGCTGCTGTAATTATTAAGACAGGCCCCAGCAGCGACTAAGCAAGCAAAACATTAAACAGCAAAATGTTTATGTTTCCTTAAGTGACTTATCTCCAGGATTTTTTGTTATGTTACTCTGCTCCTCCTAGATTGCAYGATCTCAGAGCTTTCCAGGTTATAACAACGTCATTCCACCTGAATGTCACACAGCTCCCCTCTCTCTTTGCTGCAGTGATGCCTTTCCCAAATACCAGAACTTGGCATGTGGGTACCTGGACAGTTAAAGCCACAAAATTGGTCTTACATCAACGGAAACAGCCCTGAAAATCTGTTTGAATTAAAACTTTCCCTTCCATCCTCTGGGGACAGGGTCTACAGCTTGGTGCTACATGGCAAAGTTTAGTACAGCCAAAAAGCCAGGCTGCTCTTGTTCATTACTGCCTTGCTTAAGAGTTGGCGACCCCAGGATCAACCAATCTCTCCTTCAGAATTCCTCTACCTTCCTCCAGAAGCCCCTGTGTCAATCAAGTCACAATGTGAAGTGTTAGGAGTGYTCACTCTTGTATTCACTTGTTAAGACTCACCAAGAAGACATGATCAAATATCTGTGTGGGGCTGTCCATCTGCCCAAGGATCACTATCATTTCGTTGTCAATGAACTCTTTGAACTCCCGCAGGTTACACACCATCTGCATCTCCAGCTCCGTGCGTATCTGGGMGGGGAGGAGGGACACAAGGAAATCATGTGAAGCTTTTGCTCTGAACATTCTTTGTGGCATGAGGCACAGAGCTCTCTAGTTTGCACAGCAGCACCTCCAGTGCTGCTCCCCTCACCACTCACCTCTTTTGAGGTGATGTTCTCCAAATCTTTCTGCATCATGATCTCCCTTAATTTGGTCTTAATGAGCCGTTCCGTGCGTTCCCGCTCAGTTGGGCTGTCGGAAGAAAGCAACAGTCACTGGGAGGGGAAACAAACTGAACTTATGGCACTTTTAAAATATGTATAGACTGCATACTCTGCAGAGTCTCAGACTCTCACACTACTTCCCCCCAGGCATRTCCTCAGCTGGAGGGAATTCAGGTGACAGTAAAGCCCAGTTTAGATTCACAGTCGTATATGAAAGACACCAACTGAATGCCCCTAATCCAYTGCAGTCATCCAGAGAACCTCTGGTATTTGGTAAAATTTAAATTGGGAAGGCTGCATTATACCCTCTGGAGCAATATCTAAGCCTCTCCCTACCTTTCTTGGAAAGGTAACAGCTCCAAAACTCCTTACATGGAGAGATGAGGGCAGCTAAGCCTCTGCATTCCTCCCGCCTCTGCTGCCAGGGGCCTTATCACCAGCTGCAAAAATAGCCTGAGTAACACCAGGGGAAGCTGCAGCAGAGCAGCAGCACGGGGCTGGCTCATCCAGCACCTTTAGAATGGACCCAGCAGTGACATCTCCCATCACCTTTCCCTTTCTCTGGAAGGATGCCAGGGTGGTGAGGGTATGGATGTTACAGGTGTTCAACTGTAAAATAAAAATCATGGAAGTTCCTGGTTCTTTTAAGCTCATGCATTATTTCAGGGCTTCATTAAGAAAATGCTGTTTCAGTATCCCCAGGAAATCATTCAATTGCTGCCACCAGGGAAAGGGTGGGTTAGATAAAATTTATATATGAAAAGCTACAAGAAAATATTAATCTGTCAGCCTGCCAAAAGTTTTCAGCCACCCGCCTTGTACAATAAAAAACAATCAAGTGTGAAGACTTGTTCACAGCTGAACAACTGCTTAGCATCATTATTCACTCATTGGACTCCAGCGACAGGAAATATCTGGGAGCATAAATCAACCAAAGGCACTATTATCCTGGGAAAGCAGCTGGGCCCAGTGAAGTAATTACAAAATGGGCAACTGAAGCCCTCACACTTGGCACCACATCTGGTCACAGACTACCTTTGAGGTTATATGGTATCAGTACCATCAGCAATTACTGATGACTAAGGGGTGGTAAATGCTGAATGTTGATACAGCCTATAAATTCTGCCTTTCCAAATTGCCTACTCATTTACCTCAGCCACTGTTTTGGACTCTCCATCACCTGATACCCAAACATTTAGCAGGAGGCATCTTGGGACCTACACAGTCCTGTTCCACACTTGCTAAGCTCCTCAGAATGACAAAAACCTGCAYGGCTCTTTGCCCCCATTCTTAGGTGTCTCAGATGGATGAGATGAGGATGTTTCTGAGCTCACAGGCTCAGAAGTCCATACATAAACACTTCACTTTACAGCAAAATGAACTGAGTGAGGATAAAAAGACCATGTTAGTCTAAACATGTGCTTAGACACGTGCCAGTGCAAGAGCAAAGTCCAGAGAAACCTGTTCCTTCCAGGCCTGGAACCAGGGGACAAAACCGTAACAGAGACAAGGTTTAGGTGCACCACACCTCTCTCACTAATAACACAGGACTTACCTTGCAGAASCAAAGGTCTGCAAGCCTGAAGCCCAAGGTAAACAACTAAACTGAAAACAGGCTGGAGGAGATGCAAAGGAGCCTCAGAGGAGGGCTAAACTTCCAGTGCTGGTGTTTACCTAAGCAGGACTCCATGTATTACATGGAACAGGAAGCTTCTCCCTGTTAATACCTAATTAAGAGCAATCTCTTGTGGAAACTCTCTCCTGATTTGGGTACGTTCAACCAGTGGCTCAGCAGAGCCAGCCCAACTTACACATCWGTGAAGAGGGCGGGCGAGTCGGGCCGGTGGGACTGGACATCTTGCATGGCATTCCACTCGTTGACTGACGACTGGTCYGAGTTGATATGGCTCTCATAGTAACTGACCCACGTGAGGAAGAGGCTCCCTGGATAGTAATTGTTGCTCCGTGCCACTTCACAAGCCTTATGCAAACTCTGCAGAGCAGACCTAGCAAGGGAACAATATCAGCAGGTGAATCATTTCTTCCTCAGGCTGGTGTCAAGCATTAAGCAGACAAATCCCTGGCACTGTGCAGGAGGYTGTCCTGAAAAGCTGTGGACACCCACCCGCTGCCAGAGCTTCATGTCTTAATTGCAGCGTGCCAAGACAAGCCTGGATAGCAGTGAAGGTGCCCACAGTTCAGAGGGCAGAGGCACCCGTGTCTCTGGTTCCCAAATCTGCTACAAATATCCAATCCCTAAATAAGATGCTCAGAGTTTGTGTCCAAGACAGGGTGCTGACAGCTCCTGCTGTGCCATCAGCTGCCCGGCACGCAGTGCAGGGACACCCAGGAATCAGACAAGCACAACCAGGGACTCGGGACTCTGCTGAGATGTTTAGGTGTCTGCCTCCTCTCAACTGCACGAGGGATGTCAGAAGTTTCTTCAGCTGCTGCTGGGAAACAAATCCCCCTCTCCTATTTTTAGCTTATTTTAAATCTTTGACTGGGATCAGAAGGATCCAGGTCAAAATCACTGGGGTGACAGCAGCATCGCTGACAGGCGATGTATTTTTGCAATGCAAAGAAGCTCGAGCCAGAAATACTTTCATGATCACTACATGAACCACCCTAAAAGGAAAGAAAAATGCAAGCAGTTTTTCKTTCCTCTATCACAATGAACATGACTCAAAATATTTCAAACATATACTCAAAGCAATGTGACTTTTGGGCTCAAAGCAGCAGCCCTTTGCAAAGAAAATTACCCTATTCCTTCCTGCCCTCAGCTGAGACAAAGCTGCTGTATACCAGCATTTACATGGCTTTTCTCCTTTGGTACCAAACTTCCTTCCCTGTCTCTAAAGCAAACTCCTGGCTGCTCAAGCAAGTCCCAAGATCCCAGTAATGTAAAGCAGCACCGGCTTTTTAAGAGCTTAAGTAGCCAAAACACCTGGAAAAAAGATCACTGGGACAGCTTGGAGTGAGTACTTACCACATTGCCTGCACAGACACGGGCTTGAATATGTGCACCCTGTTATCTGTTGATACGCTGAACCCTCTGGTGAGAATAGAAAAGGCACAGTAAAAATGTATCCCAAAAGTCACTTTTTAGTTAATAACTGATAGTCTGTAGCACATCAGAACAGCAAAGGTCTAGCCCTATGCATACACTGCTGAGTTCAGCTAGCAAACAGATCAAAATAGCACACTAAAAGCTCTAAGATAACTTTTTAAAGCAGCTGCTGTTTGGGAATGAAACTAAGACAGTGGGACAGTGCTGGGCTGTGCTGTTTACCTTGGCAACACAAATTCAGTACCACAGCTGGGAGCAACAGAGTCCAGCTAAAGACATCCTGGGGCAGCTACCAAGGAAAGAAAAGTCATTCCATGCACTGCACTGGACAGCCTGAGTAACTGGCACAAACAGGAGTCTGCAAGTCAGGTGTCTATTTGGCAGAGAAACATCATTCTTGCTTTATTGTGGGCTGAGCGCTGCCTGCTGCAAGCGTGATGGAGGAACACATAATAGGATCCCTTTAAGGAGCTTTCACTACACACCCACTCGCCAGTAAAAGCTCCTTTACTCCAGCTTAAACACACACATAAGCCACTGTCTCAGTGCGTGTTTATTCACAGATAAGTCAATTATTGGTGTTCCCTGCCACAACCACTGTGAGTTAGGGCATTTGAGCCTACTAACCCAATACAGGGAAACAGAGGAGGTCTGCTGGACCTGTAAGGGCCCTGCAAGCACTGGAATCCTTCCCCATACACCYTCTTCTAGGTTGTATTGGCACAGAAACCACACAAAAGGCACTCACCCATCCCCATCCAGGTGGATCAAGGTGTCACTCCASAGCGGCAGCACCAAGCCCATCGTACAAGTGCTACTGCAGTGAGAAAGAGAAKGTCAGTCTGTCTACAACAGCACCATGTAATTGTTCTAATCTCATGGCAATAGTTGAATATTTTTGTGTTCATTATGAAAAAAAAAATTAAAATTCCACTGTTGCTTCAGTGACAAACAGTGCCAGTGTTGCTCTACAGGGGCCTGGCAAGGATCATTAAACAGATTCAGGGTATAGCAGAATCCTTTCAAGAAAGCCCAAAGGGTTAACACACTGAGAAGAAGAGCAAACAGGACCCAAAACCACTGAACTTTGTGCAGGTCAGAGGGGGCTCACAGTCCTTGGTCAGCTCAAGGCTTTCTTTACAGATTAATCCCTCTCAGGCTCAAGAGGTTTGGTTCTAGCTCTGATTTTGCAATCCACAGCTTTATTCTCTTGTTTGTCCCTCAGCCACAGCTGCTGGGGACTGGGAGCAGAGCAGTGCAACAGCAGAGTGACTGGCAGCATGGCAGGCTGGCAATCACAGCCTATCACCTGTGGTTCACTCCTGACCCTTCTTCACCCTCCCACACCTCAAGAATGAGCACAACAGCCCCCTCTTGGCAATCCCACTCCTCTCTCAGCTGCTTGGCTCTCTTTGCCCTCACAGTCACCAGTTTTCTGAAAGGCTCAGCAGAAAGCTAAGTTAAAAGCAGAAACCAAGCGATGGAAAAAAGGCAGGGGCGTGGGAACCCAACACAACCTGTTCCAGGTTGCCAAATGAAAGAGCTGAATCTCATAAAGCTGCAAAACTGCTTCATAAGAAAGCAGCATCTTGAAGGAGACTGAATTCAACTGCCTCCTGCTCTTATGCTTTGCACCAGGTGGTCTCAGATTTCCAGCAGTTCCAGCAGCCCTGCCAGCCTCCAGCTCCTGAGGTGCGGGAAGAGGGTGAGCCCAGGCTTTGGAGGGTCAGACACGGAGCCCTGGAAATGCACACGCCTGGTGCCCAGCACCAGGAGACACTGCGGCACGCAGCTATTTCTGTTGACAACATGGGATGAGCTCATGGAAAGATGTGTTTTTAAAAGGCTTCCCAAGGTGGCCGGGGTATTTTTAGTGATACTGTTCAGCGAGCGCTTATCAGAGACCATAGCAACAAGTCTACATGGAGTTATAAATACCGAGTGGGCTCGGGGAGGGTGGATCACAGTGACCATCCACAACCTCAGGAACTCCAGCAGAAAGCTAGAATGACCYTGCTATGTTATTAGAAACTGAATACCAGTGAGCTCTCAGTTATCAAAGGTGGCCGTGTGGGTACATCACAGCCAACAGCCAGTTCCAATCTCACAGCAACCTGTACAAGGACAAGTTATTCTCACCCCAAGGCAAGAACATCTCTGAGCCACAGCTGTGCACACATGTGCAGAGACAGGAGCCAGGGGCAGCATCAGGCTGGTCTCCTATTTTAGCAGGCATCTCCCAAGCTAAGGCTCCAAACCAAGCATGGTGACTGCTGTGACCTGCAAGCTATTTGGAAGGCCATTTCTTACCAAACAATTCAAAAATATTTTCCAGCGACCCTTCTAACTACCTGGAAGCAATTTATCCCAACTAGCTGCAAAAGCAAAGTCATTCCTGTAGCAGTTGTGTTGCAAGGAAGAGTGAATATGAAACCTTMTGAAACTGGCTGAATATTCAGTTGATTGTCTTCCAGTAGAGGCCAATATTTACTTAAAACTCTTTTTAAAGAGTCACATGCCTCCCAAGTGCCCACTTGTCCCCTTCTAAATGTGAAGCTTCTGCCCCTGAAGCTCCTGTGGTGCTCTCTCCTGGCTCACAGCCCCTCCAGCAGCAAAAGCTGCTTCCCAGCCACATTCTGCAGCCTTGTGGAAAGGTCAGCARGAATTTAAATGAATGAAGCAGAAGYACTAAACCTTGACGACAYGCTGCTGCCTGRRGACAGCACAYGGTGCACARGATCTGCCATCRCCAAYCCTGACATTGCCAYCAGGCCTTTGTGCCATGACCTTGGCAAGGAGCTGCCTGACAGCCACTTTCTTATTACCTGCTCTCCTGGACCCTGAGGTCCAGCACTCTAATTGCAGCTTTTTCTTTCTTTGCATGCAAATTGTTCCTGTCTCTGGTGTGCAGATGCAGGGCCTGGGGACCTCGCCATTCAGAGGCACTGAACATCTTCACAGAAGCCTAAGGCTCGAAGGAATGAGGAAAATGCTGACCTGAACTGTTACCTTCACGTTTACCACCTCCTTTCAAGAAATAAAAAGGCAATTCTGGATCTCAAGAAAGATGTTAGGCTGGAAAAGCTGAGGCAGCCYATCCCCAGGAATACAGGACACCTGACAATGATTTCTACACTTAACTTGATGTGGGGGTGAGCACAAGGACTTCCCCACCTGGACACTCTGAGTACCTGTCATTGGAAGAGAAATCCATTCCTAGGACGATGCTCTCCTCTGTGTCCTGTCTGCCATTGGTGGACACCACCACCATGTATCTAGTGCGGTTCTGGTAGGTACTTTCCAGTCTCACAGCCTGAAGAAAAGAAGGGGAAGAGATCAGCAGTGCAGTCAGCAAAACACACATCATTACTTTTACACACCACTTTTTCATGCTGAGTGACAGGCGCAGAAGCAGTGATGCAGTCTGGACTGGTATGGATGTCCCACGCTCCTCAGCTGGGTAAGAAGTGCTTTATTCCCACACAGTGCCCTCCTCAACAGTTGGCATGTTCCTGGTGCCCTCTGCATACCTGCTCTGTCCCACCAAGGCTCATTTTGAACAACCTGCAGCCCTCTGACTGGTCCCAGCCCAGTTGAGCTTCATGAACCATCAGTGAGACAGACAGTGAGAATGTCCTTGAGAGCTGAATGTGCCCTTCAGCTCCCAGAGGGCTTTTTGCCCCAAGAAGCAGAGTTTTCCTTGACACTACTGTGTGCTACAACAGCTCCAAAAGTTTCTTTCCACCAGCTTCCCAGGCAGCTGAACAGACAACCAGGATCTAATTCACATGTGGTTTCCTGCTGGTCTTTGAATTCTTCTGGCAACTTCCCAGGAGCAGAAGCAACTGTACTGCCTTACACCTGGCAGGAAAAGATATCCTTATGACTAAGCTACATTCTTCACTGGATTCAGATTGCCCAGGAAAGGTGAAAGTCATTGTGCCTCGTTGCTCCCGCCACAATCATTTGTGCCAAAAAAGCTCTAGCAGGATTGGTGCTCAACTCCAAATCCCCCAAATAAAATACTACTGAGAGTGTTCAGAAAGCAGTGGAACTTAGGCTGTGACTGTCAGACCAACGCTGAAGCTCCCGGAAGGCTCCACTGAGTTGAGCTGATCCTCCACGAAGCCACAAGGAGTGAGAACTGAAGGGACTCCAGGAAGTCTTAGAGACTGCTGGTTAATGAGGAGTCGGGGGAAGGGAGCCCAGCACTGAAAGTTTTGCTTATCAACACTTGCAGCCGGCAGCCTTTACTTGCAACACTTTTTGGACTCTGTTCCAAGCCATTGGCAGCTATTTTAGTCACAGAATCCCAACTAGAAAACTAGGACATCCCTAGAAAGGAAGTGTCTTAATTCTGTATACTAAGCTTTAACTTTGGATGGCCCAATCCAACCCCAAGACTCTGTCTGGCCTCAGTGTTTACCACATTGTTAAACTGCTGCTTGAACTTTGAGCAGGGCCTGCAGAGAGCAAACACGGGTCAGAAGGAATCATCCCATCCCACCCCAGCCTTGCCCCTGTGCTGTGGACAGATTCCTGCCTGCTGCAATGGTTGSTAAATTCCTTTCAACCCAGTGGCTGAAGTTTGAAGTGGTGTTTGACATCCTCCACAAACTGAACCCAAATTCCTCAAACATCAGCAGCCCTCCCGAGCCACTGCCTGAGTTGACACCTCTTGGTGGCCCTCACAGGAGGTCATGGCTCAGAGAGCCCAGTTTAAACCTTAAAAAAGCTCCAAAATTAACTATCGCATGGGATCATTCAGGAGCAGGCTGCTTTTACCAAAATGCTCCTTTACTTTTTTCCAACTTGGTCTTGAGGTCAGAACAACACCTCTCAGCTTAGAGGAAGCCCCCTCTGACCTCCTCAGAGCTCTCCTGTCCACCAGCTGGGAAATCTTGACCACAAGACGTGGTGGAGCCTACAGCAAAGGCTGAACCAGTGCCTGGCAGCTAAGCAGAGCTCGCCATCCCAGCGGAGTGCTCTGTGGCAGGGAATGCTGAGCAGGGAAAGCTTCCCAGTGGCATTGCAGGGAGCAGCAGCTCKGGTGATGGGGCGGAACAGCAAGTGCAGGCACGAGACGGTGTTGACAGAGTCTTCCAGACTTGCCCAGTGGGACCAAAGACCAACAGAAACTACCCAAACGCTGATGCCAGCAGACAGCCGTGCTCTGTACAGCCAGAGACTGTGCCCCGCCCCATCTCCTTAGGATAAGTCATGCTAAAACCAGCCTGATTTTCCTTCTTGCTTCTTGAGTCACTGGGATTCCTTTGGAAAAACGGAGGATCAAAGTGGTCAGTCCTTTAAGGTGTGAGTTCTCCCCAAGATGGCTGTTTCTAGAACTAASCACTTGTGGGAAAACAGAAAGGTGCTCTTCAACCTAGAAGAGCAAGTAATCACCAAGGTCTCGGTGGTTAGTCATTACCTACATTAGGAACCAAACCTCAACAAGAAGCACAGACTTGCCTAAAMCAGGAGCAGACGGACACAGCTGCCTCATGTCTGGGGCATCCACACAGGAGTTTCTGTTCTACTTCTCTTGAGGAGTCCAACAGCAAGAGGATTAACAAAATCTAACTTTGCTAAACCAATTTGGCCAGCAGTAATGGGAAATCTTGATGCAAGACCCTTTAGAAGAGGGCAAGACAAACAGCAAGCAAAAGTAACGTAGCTACACGTTGGTGAGGTGGAATTTTCAGAGAAATAGAGCATGGCTTAGCATGGATCTCTGGGTRCAACACTTACACCCTTAGYAYACAGTAAACAATCATGATTGGGGCAGATAACATGTTTTGCTATATTTACTGGAGTAGTAAAACTGCAGATTTGACATAGTAAATCAGCCAACTTTAAAAGTTACTGTTAGAGCCTCAATATACCTATCAAATCACAAATGAATCTCTAACCTTTTCATTAAGTGCTAGYTCATGTGCACACCTGACAGCAGGAGCACACCARGTAYYCTGATGCCTTTTAAGTGAAAGTATTTGAAGTCCCAGTCACTCTRGGGAGGATGGYGTGGYTTTCAGGGACTGTGATGAGGTGGAGAAAGAACTTTCTCAACYAGCTCATTACATAAAGGTAGCTTTCTCCTCAATTTGGGAAGGTGATTTGCAATCTAGTCACGAACAAGCCATCCCCTTTCAGGGCCAGCCACATTTTTTTTAGTTTTAGGCTCACCTGAACACAAGCCAACTTTATCTTCCATTGCATTCTTGTATCATCAGGAGTATGATGTGATATTTCACCAGCCCTTATGAACAGCACATTCCGAGAAGTTCATAYTGACCTTTCATGCTCCATGATAGTAGGTGTTTCATACAAGAACACATTTCTCATAGAGTTTTTTGATCTGAAGACCAAAAAAATGTGTCCAACTTTCAAGTTCCCAGCTCTGCTAAGCTACAGGAYCGAGTTCAATCACTTTGTATTCTTAACTCCTTTTCCTCCTTCTTACTGATCTTRCACTGGTACTGTTGCTCTAATCCTTCTTTCATGGAAGGCTAAAAACCTCTGCCAATAGCTCCAACAGAAACAAGAGCTGTTCCAGATTTTAAGTGTAGGTTTTTAGAGGATTAGATGCCTCTGCTGCCCCCCGAGCTGTGAAGCCTGCCCTCCGAATGACAGCAGCCAACAAAATGRAGAGAATGCATTTCTCTCAGTCCTGTTTATATTTCAAATCTCATTTGTATCTGCTGTTTTATGAGAGASTCCATTGCAGCCCCGCACACCCTTCGTTCGTCAAGAATCAATTAAATTCAAGTAGACTATCGAACTTAACCTCATGCAAGATTTCAGCATTCCAAATGTAGCTCTGGACAAAAGGGTTTATGTCTCAGCCCACAAAGTCCTTATTCAGCTGTTAAGGCTAATTTGTCCCAAATCACACAATGTAGCCAGTGATACTGCTGAACAATGCCTTGTTCAATAGCTTCCAATGTTCTAACCCTGGCTCAAATTCTGAAAAGCATTGAGAACCCCTATTCCCATCACTTTCACAGAAATTATAGTGACAGCAAGGTGCACCCAGCAAAGTTTAGGAGTAGGTCCTCTGGCTTGCTTATAGCAAACTATTTTCGGTGGTCATTTGGGAAGCTAAAGCATTCCATAGTAACCTTGGCTGTTTCCTAGCTATACTCATACAATCAGTCCATCTCCAGCACAGCTCAGGAGGATTCAGCAAACCAGAGGTGCCAGAATTACGCTTGTGATGCTGGCAGTCCTTCTTTGGGCAGACGTTGCTAAGATGCACCAAAAAAACACAAGAGGGAAACTTCAGGCTACTGAAGTGATGAGAGATGCAGACACACTCCAATCATGCCTGGCCTTGTAGAGCACTTCAACATGTCCCAGGCAAATTCCTCACTGCTCACGTTTGGCTTCTGAAGCTCTTCAGGACTGTGCATCAATGCCATGAACAGCAGAGCCTTATTTTCATTACATCATTACAGGAGGCAACAGTCCAGAAGAGCAGAAGGCCAAGGTTCAGTGTAGGAGCATGGCTGCATGGGAATCCTGCGTGCTCCTTCCTGTCAAGCCACAGACTTTTGGGGTGGTACAAGTCAGGAGAGCAGATAAGGAACACAAGGGCAGGTGCTCACACTGGTCAGACATAACTCACCTACTCTTGATTTGAACAGGAAACCAAGAAAATTTACCCATCTTCTCTGGCAATTGTTACAATACTTTTAAGAGCACAGATACCAGCACTTGGTTCAAAGACAAATTTCCAGCCCCACAATTTATCTCACTGAGCAACCAAAGCAGACCTTTCACAATTAGCTGCTTTTCTTACCTTTGTGGTTGCAAAGACTCCCCAAACCTGCTGACAAAAGCACTCCAACACACACACACACACACACACTGCTTCCCTGAGTTACACAGGTGTATTTGTCAAGTGGCGCTTAACCTTTGCATTGGTTCACAGGAGATAAGCAGAAAGCCAACCTACCAGTCTGATGTTGTCTTCTGGGCGGAGCAGGATGAACATGGCCTGCAGGTGCTGCTGGAGATCCCCTGCAGGCAAGAGGGCAAGGTGAATGCACAAAAATAGTTTTAAATCACATGCGAGTTCCAGGGTGTCCAGCCAGAGCAAATGTCCACTGAGAAACCKGACACGTCACCGCGAGTGTCACGTCACTGTCACTCCCACCTACTCACAGATGGGGGTTTTGTCATCTCTTAGTCAGCTGCTCTTTGCTCCGTGTGCTCACCTGCTCCTGTGTTACCATGTTTTCTCCTGCTAAATTCTGTTCTCWCTTTAAACAGAAGCACAGAGTGTTTCGGTACTCTTTGTTCCTTTGACAGACAAGGAAACTCGGTAGAAATGGACCCCACCCCATGGTTCAACATACCACATGCTCAAACCAGAAATCTGCCATYTCTTTACACCAGCTTATTATTCAGTGCAGAACTACCACCCAGGCAAAAGTATCCTGTCTTTGGAGTGAGATTTAGTCCCACCTTASAGCAGCATTTGCCCACTTATGCCCTCACCCAAAAGCAGCTAAGAACTGCCACCTGAAAAATCAAATGCCTGTAATTTTTAACTMGAAAACATCTGCAGCACTTTTACCGGTGAGGCTGAGAAAAAATAAAATTAAATTTATAGCATGACTATTTAAGTCTTATTAATCAGAGACAAGTGTCTCAAGCTCCTAAAACATCAAGCACTTCAAAGACAAATGAGATGCTTTTCTGTCAGCACTGCTGCACTGACTTCTCAGCACTACTCCTGGCATGCAGAGAGCCAACATCACCCCCTGAGTGTCAGCCAGCAGCAACACCTCCTGCAAGGGGCTGGTTTTTCAATCATTACATGGAAAATTRATCAGCATTCCCAGAAAGGAGAGGGCAAGGCTGCCAGGTGGGTGGCACAGATCAGCAAGAAGAGGAGCCTTTACTCTTCCACCCCCTTTCACTCCCCCACAACCAGGAACACTTTACACTCAGTTTAGGCAACACTCCAGCGAGCAAATATTCAGTAAGATCAGCTACAAGAACCTTTTCTAGGAAGGCTGGTTAATCTCCATGACCCCCCTTTCTGATTCACCAGTAGTGCTTGAATCCATGTTATTTCACAGACTCTCGGAAATAAGGAAACCTTGGACATGGAGCAGCATCCATAAATACCAAAAAAGGGAAGGGGAAGAAAGGAAAGGCTGCCCAGTGAGAGTACCTGGTTTCCAAATGATTTTTATAGCTGGAAGAGCAGGGCTGAAGGGCTGTGCAGTCCCTCTATGGATGGGACAGAGGCAATCTAGCATGGAGTGAGCTACACAGGACACTGCATTTCCTGCTTTCCTCTTCCTTCCTCCTTCAAACGCATTTCAGCATGTGGAGAATGAGTCAATGCCCTGGGAACGCATTTTTAACTGAGGGTGGGAAAACTGAGGCACTCAGCAGTGCCAGGGAAATCACAAAGCATCACCGGCGACAAGCACCTGAAGCTGCTTCCTGCCCATGGACATTGTTTCCAGTACTGGAGTGGCTGGCACAAGCCTCCCTAAACGACAATTATTTATGGAGATAGGGCACTTGGGAAGGCCAAATCATCCATCAGATGCTTGCCCTGCCAGGAGTGCCATGACAGGATCTCCCCACGTCAACACCARGGCAAAATCCTGCCAGCACTGCTCAGCTCCAGCAAGTTCCAGCCACTACCACAGTGGGAATCGCCAACAACTGTCTGTCAACAAGCAAAAGTCCCTCTGCACCTTCTGCACACAGCCTGGAAGAGCTCAGTAAGTATTTGACTCGTGAAGCGTCCATATGTCTTAGTTTGAAATGAAAGATGCTTCACCTCAGCTTTCTCCCTCTCCAMAATGTAACAGTTCCCATCTATTGCTGCCAGTAATTCAGGGATCAGCTTAAGAGCCAAAGTTTCCGGAGTTTAAAAAAACATCACCTGGACTACAGGATTATTTCAATACATAAAGAGAGGAAGTTTCTACGACAGCCCTTTCTGCAAAGCTCAGYCAAGGAGCTCCATTATCCTTCATCCTCAGCAAGTTTACCACACTGCTCCCTGCCAGCCTTGGGATCTCTAGAGCTGGAAAGTAAAGGATTGCTTCCTCAGCCAGCTTTCATCCACTTGCAGCGTTTTCAGCCCCAAACACACAAGGCATTTTGTAAACTTCCTGGATTAAGAAAAACCAAAGGAAAGGCTTTAACATGCCAGAATCAGCACAAAGATATCACATCCTGTCCTGTGAAGAGCTGGCTTTGCTGGCATTCATGGCAGGGCTGCTGCTTCCTATCACATTGTCCTGTTCCCGAGCAGATGCTTTTGTTTCCTTGAGCTGGCAGGCAAGGTGCAAATCATGGGAGAGGGTGGGATCTGAAAACTAATTCACAGTATCCAGAGATGACAAAAGCCCCAGGGAAAGTTACATCCCTTTCTGGCCTCCTCCAGTGCTGTTTGTTGTGGAAAAGCAAGCCCACCATCCCACAGAAGTTTGCCAGGTGGCAYAGGAACACCCAGGGAGAGGAACATGGACAGCTGGTGCTGTATCTAGTCAATCTGCCAATGATTCCCATTGATGGAGCTGTGATTAGAGAAATGGGCGTGAGCATTAATTATTTCCTGTTACCCATTCACTCTTCATGCAAGATTCTAGCGCCTCTGATGAATTAAAAAGGCAGGTCAGGAAGGTCAGTCAGCCTTCCTAGAAAACGCTCTTGGAGCCACTTGAAATACTATTGCATCCATAGGCAGCAATTCCATACTGGAAAGTTATGTCCGCTCTCTAGTCCCTTCTAATTTTGTGTGCCAGAGATAAGTCACGACACACATGGGAATGGAAGCTGAGCATGGATTATCGGTGTCCCAGAAAGGAGGCAGCTGCACACACTGTGCCAACCATGCTCTCCACATCACTGATTTAATTCTGGTGGCACAGACGTTTTGCTCAGAAAGGTGACACACTAATCTCTTGATGTCTTGGTCTGATGATACTAGAAAAATTCGCAGAAATCTGGTGCACACTCAGACAAAGGGAYTCTCTTCAGTGAAACCTCCAAGCACCACAGAAAAACACTATAGAGCATTCCCGTCACTTGACAGGCAGGGAGACTGAGAAAAGGACAAGTACTGATGCCTCATTAAATCTCACCCCGTAAGCTGAAGAGACAGGAATAAAATAAGTCTTCTAAGAAAAATCCCACCCCTTAGGCAAGGCMGCCTCGGCAATACCAAACATCTCCCTGTAAGCAATTACAACACACCGGATTTGCTTCCTTGGCAATCTGGCTTCCAAGAGCTATGGGCTGATTAGACAAGCAACTATTTTCCACCAAGGTCTCCAGACCTSATGCAAATCAGCTGCAGTGAGTAGATGAGGCAAGGAGAGACTCAACAGCTGCTTGTGTTGCCCTGCAGAGGTTCACCAGCAAAGCCACCCTGTGGGTCTGTTTGGCAAGGCAAAGCCAAAGCAGCAGTGCCAGGGGCAGTCCTGGGCTTCAGCAGTGGACTTTGGAGAGATTAAAAACCAACCAAGAGAACATTTTAAAAGGCTGCTGACTCTACTTTCATGCTAAAGGACATTTCACTTAATTCTCGACCAGAAAGGCCAACTTTAAGTTAAGTTTCAGAACATTTTCTTTTGACAACTGGTAATTAATGCATCTCACCAAAGCAATTTGGGTACCGCTTGTGCTATGTTTGAGTGCAAGTATATAATTAAATGCCTTCTGACTGAAACTTTTTCTATAAATATGTTTGCAAACAGATTTTGAGGTGGCCAGTCATCACATACGTAACTCTGACACATGCAGAGATGGATGACTGTCTGACAGTGTCAAAGTACAAAGTGATCTACACCTGGAACCAAACCAAATCACGTTTTTCCTGGTTATTTTCTGGCAAAGCATGTTGACTCCTGTCTCTGTTTCTATCTCTGTTCCATTTGCAAAAGTCTGAAGGCCTCCATTTATTTTTGTTTCCTGCCAATTCCTTTATGGAAGGGAAAATCCCCACACTATCTGATGCCTGTAAAACACCATTCGTGATTAAGCACCAAATAGCCAATGAAAAATACCCTACCCTGAAATGTTTGAGTTACAGTATTCAGAGTCACTTTTCAAAGAGAGTCAAAGCAAAAACACAAATCAAATTTGCAGCAGATAAAGGAGGYGGAATTATAACCGACTTTGTATTACTCACTCTGCTTACACCTCTGAGAAGTCACACTGGCTTTGCTCAGAGGTTTCCTCAGCCCCACATAGAGGTAWATCTGGTAAGCCTCCTCCCTTTCCTCCATCACAACCGGTTACTTTCAGATTAGGAACAACTATTATTCACCCCRTATCACAACCTCAGGCTTGCCAGTGCAGTGCAGGAAGATTTTGGAAGGCAATCCTCCCCTCCCTCCCTCTCATACTAAAATTACAGGATGGTATTTTAGAGGGCAGTTATTCTCAGGTGTCCACCATGCCACGATTGCTGCCCTGATGTCACTCATTTGTTCGATGATTCTATTTGAACAGGAGCGCTCTGAAACCTTTCCTTCCTTCCTGACCTACACGTCAGGCTCTAAGACACACTTGGGCCAGAAAACGTGTGTCATCAGCTGAGAATGAGCTCAAGAAAGGTGGACTCTGAAACAAGAGGGAGCAGACAAGCCCCAGCCATCGATACCAAGCTTTACCTGCGTGTTTGTTGCGCCTGTGACTGATTCTGGGAGTGGATGACCCATTTCCTCGTGGCAGGAAGAGAGCTGCACCTTTCACAGTGAGGAAGCTTTCGCTGATGCTGTAAGGAGAGAGAAACAGGGAGTGAGGAAAACTGTCTTGTCTTTAAAAGGGAAAAAAGCAATAATCAACAGAGGTTCGAGGCACTGAATGCATGCTCTGTTCCTTTGCAAGGAATTGATTTAAACCAAATTGTTTTGTCGGTAAAGACTTTCCCCTCCATATAAATACTGGAAACATTCAAAGCATAACTGAGAACAACACAAACAGARAAACACTGAAAAGCAGAACACATGCTGGTGCCACTCTGCTTGCAGAGGTGCAATCTGAGCAGGCCGAGGGGATTAACCTATGGCTCCATTTTTGATTTGAAAGTCAAGATGACAGATCCACATTTCTAAATGGTGATGAATAGAACAAGCCCACGCATCTGGGTAATTACGGACTCCGTTAACCCTGAGCTTTGTGGTTCAGACACAGCYGATGCCCTGCAGAAACAAATGTCTYCCTTCAGCAGTTAGCCAAAAGAAAATTAGTGTACACAACAGATTAAGAAATCATAAAACTGCTCTCTGAGTTGCAAGATAATTAACTCTTGAAGACTTATAAATTACAAGCAAAAACTGTAATTGTGTTGAAATCAGACATCACATTATGCCCTGATTTTGCCCTTTCTGAAGGCACATGAGGAATGAAGTTTGTAAAAAGGRGCAATAAAGAATTCTCAAGTACTGAGGAGCAGCTGGTATTTTAAGGACATCTTCCAGTYGTTTTCTTGGAGATGCTGTGGTTCATGCAAAAAGCAAGACACAGTCCAGATTCTGCAATTCAGCCCTCCTGTTGCATACTCRAGGGTTCCTGCTTTTCTCAGAATTGATAAGACAGTCCTACAGGCTTTGAAGAAAGCCAGAAACAATTCTCCAGTCAACCATTCTGTTGATGAATATGATAAGACAGGATGGGAGAGTCCCTGGCATCGTGMATCCCAGCAGCTCCATGCTTTGAAAAAGATGTTGGCTTATCCTTCAACTGAGCAAGAGCCTAGGAACTGATTCCTTTCTCTGCTTAAATAAGTATCAAACTTAGTTAGTTATTCCCTTCCTCTAAGGGATGAGGACTGGGAAATTAATAGAGTAAAAAGCCCTGCCATATATTTTCATTATTTAGGGTTGACTGCTTTAGCAAAGGCTTTTCCGACTACATTTTTAGAAGCACAAGAATTACAAAAGCTTGTGTTACAGTTGGATTTGCCCCTAAGCTTGAGCACATTTCTGGGCACCTCTCCATTTTGCTGCCAGGGATGTAAAAAATTAAGTTTTCCAAGCTTCAGCAAAGCAGATGCAGAGAGTCAGAAAGACTTTTCTCAAGGCTGCAGCACATCCCAATGTTTAGACCATGCTGTCTGTCATACCCTCAGCACTCCTGAGTGACAAAGTTTCTCCCAGGACTTTTCTTCTAAAATTGAACCAGATGTCAAACATGCTCTGGGATGTTTCAAAACCAGAATTTTGAAAAGGAGAAAATCACTCATCTCAAATTAAAATGTATGAGAGTTCTCTATATAGAGTTCTCTCTATACTAAAGTTAAAACCAAAAAATAATGAATTGGGCACACTGACCATGTTTCCTCAGACCATTCTCACATTAACAAGTTTCACTGAGCCTTTCTAGCTTTTGTTGACAAATAAATCCTCTGAAAGCTCTCAAGCTACATAAATTCTTACAGTTTGAACTAGAAAAACACCAAGGCACTTAAAGGTACTTAAAAAAATAACAGTAGTATTATTAACGATAAAAATAAATTCTCCTCCTTCCATTATAATTTCACCACAGAAGAAAACTGTTAAAAGATGTTAGGCTGCAGAGGAGGAGAAAGAATTCAGCACTCACAGACAGCTTTCATACAGTTAATTTTATCAGCAAAACCCACAACTAATATTAGCASTCCTTTAGCCTGTGCCTGAGGTTCCCCCAGAAGATGGAATTAGCAACTATTTTTAGTGGATAATACAGCACGTAGCTAAGAGGGCCAGGAGGTTAAAAATCTCAATTCCACCGCTTTCTCTTATCATCAACTCTCAGCCACCAGCCTGGAAAGGAAAAAGCAGCAGAACTAAAGAGATTTCCACCAGGTGCATCCTTCCAGGAGGCCACCTTCTCTCCTAAGGCCAGGGGAGCCTTGTTTTGGGCCATTAACCACGGGCTCTAAGTGTAACTTGGTAGGACGAAGGAAAGGGAAAGTAATTTCCCATACAAAGGGCTGGAACAGCTGAAGAATGTGGCAAAGCAGATCATTCTTGTGGAACAAGGAGGTCAGGCACTGAGGGCAGCACCTCCCGAAGGGCAGGAGATGGCCATCAGCACTGCTGGGAGAACAGAAGATCMGTGGAGACAAGAGCCTTGTGCCAATTCCAGCTGTGGGGACGCTCACTGGGCAGCCAAGGCACACTATTGGCACTCCTGGCATTGCCTGCCCTGAATTCTAWGCCCAGATGCATCAGCATCCAGAAAAGAAACCTGTAATACACACACACAACACCCTTGCTCTGAGATTCAAGCAACAAAGAAAATATTGGAAGGAAAGGTGAYAAATTTATAGGAAAATCCAAGTAGCTSTAATATTAAATTCAGCAGATGCTGMCTCYRYGCTGCATTACAGGGGCAAAAAAAGCAATCACTGGCCTAACACCCCCTGTGCCACACACAAATGGCTGCCCCATTTGGGTCCATCCTGTTTGGACAGTCCCTGCCACGATCTTTACCTAAAGCATCATATTTTAGGGCAAATTCACCTTTGGATATTGTCCTGATATATAAGGAGAAAGGATTCCTGGGTGGGACAGGAACACCAGGCCCCAGTCTGAGACACTTCAGAAACACAAAAGGTAGAAAAGGTGCACAAAAAGGGCAATTAGGGCTCAAAACAAGTGTTGCCATCCACTACTGATTTCACCCTGCTGGCAGCTTGATGGCTCCCAAGTGTAATGTGGGCTTTGAAACACTTCACAAAATCTGGCTTGCCAGAGCCCATGGGAGCTTCAGTGCTCTTTGAAACAATCTCCTGGAACAGACTGGTGTTAAAAGACACTCAGCTTGGTTAGGGGAGAAGTTGAGCCCAGGACAGCAGAAGACAAGGAGCCAACTTGGCACAGGTAACAAAGCTGAGCTGTGTTTTATCAGCACCCCAGGCTCTCTGTACTGCACAGMAGGTTTTTTCAGGAGAAGACTTTCTCGGGACATACCTATGAAAGAGTTCACAATCCTCAGCACTACAGCTGGGGGGAAAAAAACCCTTCTGTTCCATGTTCTCCTCTGCAGGGAAGCAGCAACCTCAAGGCCACCAGTGATGTGCTATTTGTAATTCCCAGCTCACTGGGAAGAGAACCAAGGCAAGCACAAGACTTAAGCAACTCCTACGGAAATCGCTACTTGTACCAATTTTTCTCGCAGGCAGAAAAGATTTTGTAAGAAATTGTACAAGTCACATCAGAACTATTTAAAGCCTTTTTTTCACAGAAAGCACAGACATTGCCCTCAGAAGGCTCTATTTCTAACCAGCAGTAACATCAGGAAACAGAAATGATTCCTGTGCTCCCTGACTTGCTGCCCAGGGCTGAGCTCCTCATGCATGAGGAAATCACTGCACAGTTCAAACTAAACTCTCATTATGCTACAAAATGAAATCCACGTAGAACTTACAGATGGCAAACAAATAATAAATGCCTTCCCAACTGTTACACTGCACAGCTCTGTTCATAAACTGCAGGCACAAACACCAAATACACTGGTTTGAGGACATAAAAGAGGAAGTGTTACTGGCTTAGGGACTGTGCCAGAGGTGTGACAATATTAATCACTCGGTGCATTGTCATGACCCCCTGCCTTGCACCTCCCAGCCAGGAGACAGGTGAATCTGCACCATCCATCAGCTTCAATGAGAAATTCTCAGTCCTTGGTGTTAAATGCTCAGAAAGAAACCTTGCAGTTTTCTTTTGAAACTGCTTCTCAATGAAAGGAGAGAATACCTTTTTAGGAATACAGCAAGGAAGCACCTGAACAGCTCCTGGCAATGTCTTATCCTAATAAACACTTAATTATTGTGAGCCTGAGGATGACTTTCCAGAAGTCAGCTCTCCTTACTCATCAGAGCAGCTCCTTTACAGCAGGCTCGGTCCCGTCCAGCCCAGCCCTTGGTCGGGCACTTGCCAAGTAGCACAACCAGAGAGATCTGGCACCATTCCCTGACAGGCTCGGCAGGAGAAGTCCTTCCATCCACATCCTCCCACACAGCGCACAGGAAAAGGTCAGTGTGGCACGGGGCAAAACCTCCCCGTGCTGTCACCTCCTCACAGTCATGCCCAAGGCACACAGGCACTCCAGGGAGGTCACATCCTCCCACTCTGTTCAGCCTTACCTTTAAAACAAATGGGAGATTGAAAAGTGATGATAGGGGAAATGAAGATTTCAGAAGACTTCACAATTCAATGAAAGTCCACTACCAGTGTAATTTTCAGAAATATAATTCCTTTTAGCTGCAGGTATTTATTAACCACAGCCCTGCAAAAAAATGCTCAGAAGCAGCATCCTAACAGAGCTGAGAGGCTACATTAAGTAGCTCCCCACGACAARAGAGCCGTGCAGTTACCACAGAGACTTCCAACTCCTGAGCAAAAGAGTTTTTCTTAAAGAGCACCCCTTGGAACACAACCACTACCAGCAAAGTTCTGCAAATGCAGGAAGCTGCCCTGCAGAACTGTGCACCACCAGGAAGGGCTTCCAGTTTCCAACCCTTCCCCTCCAGCAGCTGGTCAGACCAAAGGCAAAGAAAAGAAAAGCAGAAACAGTGATCAAACAGGCAGGCAAGTGTGACAGAAAGGAATGACACAAGTGGAGCTTGGTGCTGACAAACTGGAAGCATCAGCAGCCCAAGCTCTGAAAATAGAAGTGTCAAWGTAGACATGGGTCTAAAGCACTGGGGATATCAGCTGGGATCCTGCTTTACCAAATGCTGCTCACATGTACAGGGAAAGGCATCTAAAGAGCCAGCAGTTAAACAGGGCA